TACAGTCACCCCGCGATGCTCACTTGTTTTGTTTACAAACCTCGCTCCGTTTTCTGTCGCCTTCACGACATTCACTTTTTCTGCTCTGCGACTCTCCGTTTTCTAATAAACAACTGACGGAGAGAGAGAGATGCCATTTCTATAATTTCTTGACATTAATTCTCTCATTACAAAATAATGATGACAGTCCATAAATTATTTAATCTAATATGAAATAATATGTAATGATTTTCACGATTAGTTTACCATTAAAAACGAAAATACAGTTGAATAAGTCGTCTCCATTCTCCGTTTTCTACGACACTGTCAAGGTGTTATGTCGGCGGGAGACTAGGCAGAAAAATGAGATTTGTCAACGTAGTCTTCACCGAGTACCTCCCTTGTGTAGCTTCCGGGGATCAACAGCCCCGCGGCCCGGTCTCCAACCAGGCCTCCTAGTTGGTTTGGTCAACCAGGCTATTGGCAGCCTGACGTATGAATCACAGCCTGGTTGATCAGGTATTGTGATCAGGGACTGTGGGGTGAGGAGTTTGGCAGTGAGGGACTGTGGGGTGAGGAGTTTGGCAGTGAGGGGGGTGGGGTGAGGAGTTTGGCAGTGAGGGACTGTGGGGTGAGGAGTTTGGCAGTGAGGGGGGTGGGGTGAGGAGTTTGGCAGTGAGGGGGTGGGGTGAGGAGTTTGGCAGTGAGGGGGGTGGGGTGAGGAGTTTGGCAGTGAGGGGGTGGGGTGAGGAGTTTGGCAGTGAGGGGGGTGGGGTGAGGAGTTTGGCAGTGAGGGACTGTGGGGTGAGGAGTTTGGCAGTGAGGGACTGTGGGGTGAGGAGTTTGGCAGTGAGGGACTGTGGGGTGAGGAGTTTGGCAGTGAGGGACTGTGGGGTGAGGAGTTTGGCAGTGAGGGACTGTGGGGTGAGGAGTTTGGCAGTGAGGGGGTGGGGTGAGGAGTTTGGCAGTGAGGGGGGTGGGGTGAGGAGTTTGGCAGTGAGGGGGGTGGGGTGAGGAGTTTGACAGTGAGGGGGGTGGGGTGGGGTGAGTGAGGGGGTTTGGCAGTGAGGGGGGTGGGGTGGGGTGAGGAGTTTGGCAGTGAGGGACTGTGGGGTGAGGAGTTTGGCAGTGAGGGGGTGGGGTGAGGAGTTTGGCAGTGAGGGGGGTGGGGTGAGGAGTTTGGCAGTGAGGGACTGTGGGGTGAGGAGTTTGGCAGTGAGGGGGGTGGGGTGAGGAGTTTGGCAGTGAGGGGGGTGGGGTGAGGAGTTTGGCAGTGAGGGGGGTGGGGTGAGGAGTTTGGCAGTGAGGGGGTGTGGGGTGAGGAGTTTGGCAGTGAGGGACTGTGGGGTGAGGAGTTTGGCAGTGAGGGGGGTGGGGTGAGGAGTTTGGCAGTGAGGGGGGTGGGGTGAGGAGTTTGGCAGTGAGGGGGGTGGGGTGAGGAGTTTGGCAGTGAGGGACTGTGGGGTGAGGAGTTTGGCAGTGAGGGGGGTGGGGTGAGGAGTTTGGCAGTGAGGGGGGTGGGGTGAGGAGTTTGGCAGTGAGGGGGGTGGGGTGAGGAGGGTACAGGAGGGGAGGGTAAGGATGGGGTGCAGGTGAAGGTACAGGGAGGGAGAGGGGGGCAGACGTGGGGAGGGGGGCTGGAATAGGGGGAGGTCAACCCCTAAGGGAAGGTCAGTCCTACTCGACTTTTGCTCATTAGCTCAAGATGTATAATAAGAAGTATACAATATACAACCTACATTATACAATAGACACTATACAAAATACAATATACGACATACAACATGCTCTACAGTATACAATATTCTGGTCCTGTTTAACACACCAAAGGTCAATTTGGTCAAACCTTACCCAGGACGGATCTTTAAAGCTGGTTTTCAAATCTTTAAAACCGTTTAGTGCACATTGTTAGGCAATGTTAGGTTAGATTAGGTTAAGTTAGATAAGGTTATGTTAGGTTTGGGTAAAGTTAGGGTGGGTTAGGTTAGGGCAAGGATAGGTTGGGTTTAAAATGTGTTGGTGAGCAGTGTGCAGGCGGAGGCTGTGGGTCGTAGCCCATATAAACGCTGTATTACTCTGACCTTTCTGACGCTGAACCTTGAAGTGATGTGCTCTTTCACCCACCTGACACCCGCCACCCTTCATCCTCACACACGTTTTTTCTAATTACTATTTATTTCATTTACACAAAAAAGAAACATGTCAAAACAATTAACACACAATAACTTGATTACTAATAACGTAAGTTTTCTTAACACGTGATAGAGTTTGAGGCAGGTCCTTAATGTAAACAAGTCAGGTAAGATGATAAGGTACATTGTAGCACAATTGTATATCAACATATAACTACAATATAAATTGAAAGATGTGATTACACTGGTGAAGATATGTCTTAAGTACTAATATTGGGGAGTGGGTAGTACACTGAGGCACAAGCTAGGAAACTATCAGCATGAAATTATTTAGTTTTTTGGTTTTACTTTTGAATCAGGCTTAAGTTAGACAACTTTTGAATTCATCAGGGAGGGAGTTCCATAGACGGGTCCTTATATTTGCACGGAGTGTGTACAGATTTAACATGACTCTGGGGAATATCAGAGATATTTATTTCTGGTGTGGTGTTCATGGGTTCTATTACACATATCAAGGGAAAGTTTCAGATCAACATTAGCATTTAGGAGCAAGGTTTTGTACATGTAAATAGCACATGAGAATGTGTGGAGTGCATGTTTAGCATGTTAAGGGACTTAAACAGAGGGGCTGTGTGTTGTCTGACCACAGACTCTTATAGTTATGATAGCAGATTTTTACTGAGTGATGATAGACTTGAGGTTATTTGCAGTGGTTGAACAGGGACCCCATGCACAGATACCGTATGTAAGATAGGGAGATAGGGATTGATTTGTATGATACACACAAACACACACTTTAGATTATATATATATCATTCTTTGGGGCACACGTGAGGAACACAAATGCATATATATATATAAAACTCATACTCGATATATATATTAATCCGCTTGACCATCATATGATATATATAACCACTTCCCTATATATATGATATATATATATATATATATATATATTAAGGCGTTAGTATATTTCGAGTCACTTCTGGTAGCAGTCTTTTCCTGTAGACATATATTATTAAATATGACCGAAAAAGTAAGATTAATAATTCTAACACGAATTTTCTCGATGTTTCTTATGTTTCTTTTCACTGTTGATGGTAATTGAAAAATCAATTCTCCAAAATTAATTTTTATTTCTAGCCTGACGCAACACTTGAACGCGTTAAGTAATAACTTATCAAGTTCAAGTGTCGCGTCAGACTAGAAATAAAAATGAATTTTGGAGAATTAATTTTTCAATTACCATCAACAGTGAAAAGAAACATAAGAAACATCGAGAAAATTCGTGTTAGAATTATTAATCTTACTTTTTCGGTCATATTTAATAATAATAATAATTATTATTATTATTATTATTATATATATATATATATATATATATATATATATATATATATATATATATATATATATATATATATATATATATATATATATATATATATATATGTCGTACCTAGTAGCCAGAACGCACTTCTCGGCCTACTATTCAAGGCCCGATTTGCCTAATAAGCCAAGTTTTCCTGAATTAATATATTTTCTCTAATTTTTTTACCTAACTTATGAAATGATAAAGCTACCCAATTTCATTATGTGTGAGGTCAATTTTTTTTTATTATTCAGGAGTTATTAAAATTAACGTAGATATATGACCGAACCTAACCAACCCTACCTAACCTAACCTAACCTAACCTATCTTTATAGGTTACGTTAGGTTAGGTAGCAGAAAAGTTAGGTTAGGTTAGGTAGGTTGGTTAGGTTGCCGAAAAACAATTAATTCATGAAAACTTGGCTTATTAGGCAAATCAGGCCTTGCATAGTAGGCTGAGAAGTGCGTTCTGGCTACTAGGTACGACATATATATATATGCGTATATATACGATATATATATATATATATATATATATATATATATATATATATATATATATATATATATATATATATATATATATTGTATTGGTAATTATAAAAACTTAATAAGTATGTTGGGGATAATTGTGTACTCTTGGCTCCCACTTGAGAGTTACCAACTGTCGTACAAGCAGCCTATTATTGCCTTAACACGTGCATGGATCGCCAGGTATTTCCTGTTCTTTGAAATATAAGAAATAAAAAAATAACTTTGTTGGTGGGTTTCTTAATCAATTTCTGGGTTTTTAAGAACTGATGTGCATTGTGGTGAGGGGGGGGGGGCGGTGACCCCCTCCACTCCTCACCACCTGCTGCTGGCTGGGGTCTACAGTGGAGGGTCCGGCTGGGGTCAAGAGGACGGGTGGGCTGGGGTCAACAGTGGAGGGTCCGGCTGGGGTCAAGAGAACGGGTGGGCTGGGGTCAACAGTGGAGGGTCCGGCTGGGGTCAAGAGAACGGGTGGGCTGGGGTCAAGAGGACGGGTGGGGGCTGGGGTCAAGAGTGCGGGTGGGGGCTGGGGTCAAGAGTGCGGGTGGGGGCTGGGGTCAAGAGTGCGGGTGGGGGCTGGGGTCAAGAGTGCGGGTGGGGGCTGGGGTCAAGAGTGCGGGTGGGGGCTGGGGTCACGAGTGCGGGTGGGGGCTGGGGTCACGAGTGCGGGTGGGGGCTGGGGTCACGAGTGCGGGTGGGGCTGGGGTCACGAGTGCGGGTGGGGGCTGGGGTCACGAGTGCGGGTGGGGGCTGGGGTCACGAGTGCGGGTGGGGGCTGGGGTCACGAGTGCGGGTGGGGGCTGGGGTCAAGAGGACGGGTGGGGACTGGGGTCAAGAGGACGGGTGGGGGCTGGGGTCAAGAGGACGGGTGGGGACTGGGGTCAAGAGGACGGGTGGGGGCTGGGGTCAAGACCTGAGGTATCCGCTGATCCAAGTCACAAGGAAGAATTAAGAGCTTGTCATGAAAAGGTTTTATTTGGAAATTAATGGAGACGCTCAAGTCCTGGAAGGAATGCCACAAGTGTTCCAGAGACCCTTCGTTCCCAAGAAGCCTTGGTCCTAGGAGCCTTTGGCCTGGAAGTCTTGGTCCTAGGAGCCTTTGGCCTGGAAGCCTTGGTCCTAGGAGCCTTTGGCCTGGCAGCCTTGGTCCTAGGAGCCTTTGGCCTGGAAGTCTTGGTCCTAGGAGCCTTTGGCCTGGAAGTCTTGGTCCTAGGAGCCTTTGGCCTGGAAGCCTTGGTCCTAGGAGCCTTTGGCCTGGAAGCCTTGGTCCTAGGAGCCTTTGGCCTGGAAGCCTTGGTCCTAGGAGCCTTTGGCCTGGCAGCCTTGGTCCTAGGAGCCTTTGGCCTGGAAGCCTTGGTCCTAGGAGCCTTTGGCCTGGAAGCCTTGGTCCTAGGAGCCTTTGGCCTGGAAGCCTTGGTCCTAGGAGCCTTTGGCCTGGAAGCCTTGGTCCTAGGAGCCTTTGGCCTGGAAGCCTTGGTCCTAGGAGCCTTTGGCCTGGAAGCCTTGGTCCTAGGAGCCTTTGGCCTGGAGGCCTTGGTCCTAGGAGCGTTTACCTTGGAAGCCATAGTCATTCAATTCATTCCTAACTACCTTTATTCCACCGTCATGCTCCAAAGAGACTAATCCTGGAAATCTTACCCTTGGAAAACCAACCTGGGAAATCATAATTCTGGAAACTATTCCTTAGAAACGTAACCTTGGAGGATCTCCTGGAAACCTTAGACCTTAAAGACTAATCAGGTAAACCTTACTGCTGGAAGACTAATCCTGGAAGCCCTTATGTCCGGGGTGAACCTCAGCCCTGGAAGCCTTGTACCCAAGAGCCTTGGCACTAAAGTCTGGCTCCATAAAGGCTACCATCCGGAGGCCAGTTTTTGTGGACAGAATATAGATAGTCGTGGGCCTAGCTCGACAGTTGTGTGTGTGTGTTCCCTGTGGCAGATGTGTAGGCCATGTGTGTGTGTGTTTGGAGCAGGTGTGTGGGCCAAATGAATAAAGTATACAAGCCAGTTGTGCCCCACGGGCCAGGCAAGTGTGTTCACAATCATAAAAAAAGCATTGTACTCAGAAATCACAATTGCATGATGCATCAAATGAACAAATCCACAAGGGCAGAGTTGTCGATTAAGGCAGCGTCTGGGATGCTCTCGGACGCAGGTTCGAATCCTCATCACGGCCCTTGTGGATTTGTTAAAAATCATTGTACTCACACACACACATTATATATATATATATATATATATATATATATATATATATATATATATATATATATATATATATATATATATATACCTAGTAGCCAGAACGCACTTCTCAGCCTACTATGCAAGGGCCGATTTGCCTAATAAGCCAAGTTTTCATGATTCATTGTTTTTCGACTACCTAACCTACCTAACCTAACCTAACTTTTTCGGCTACCTAACCAAACCTAACCTATAAAGATAGGTTAGGTTAGGTAGGGTTGGTTAGGTTCGATCATATATCTACGTTAATTTTAACTCCAATAAAAAGAAATTGACCTTATTCGTAATGAAATGGGTAGCTTTATCATTTCATAAGAAAAAAAATAGATAAAATATATTAATTCATGAAAACTTGGCTTATTAGGCAAATCGGGCCTTGCATAGTAGGCCGAGAAGTGCGTTCTGGCTACTAGGTACGACATATATATATATATATATATATATATGTGTGTGTGTTCAAATAAACACCCCCCCCCCTTATGATTATGATATAACAGAAACATGTAATTGCGATACAGATGAGGACAGTTTGCAAGAGGCGGGACCCAAGAGCTTGGTGTGAGTCAACACTACTGGTCAAGAAGAGTAGGGTTACCACCATCAGCCGTACTGGCAACCTCTTACTACAGCCAGCTGGAGACCTTAGAGAGACTCGAACTCTGGAATACTAGGTTGCTAGGTGAGTATGATAACCACTCCAGCCTCCCACCACCACTAACACCACCACTACCTCACCTCACCCCCCCCCCCACTACCACCATCACTAACTCCCTACCACCACCACTAACCCCCCACTACCACTAACCCCCCACCCCTAACCCCTCCCTACCACCACCACTAACCCCCCATCACCACTAACCCCTCCCTACCACCACCACTAACCCCCCACCCCTAACCCCTCCCTACCATCACCACTAACCCCCCACCCCCCACCCCCCCTCCCTACCACCACAACCCCCTCCACCACCTCAGCCACCATGGCAGAAAAGTACAAAGGGAAACGAGAGACAATGACCCTTACAAGCCAGCACACAAGGCCCATAATGGAGTGGGGAGCCGCCAAGGCTGCAAGAGGTTATCCTTGATCCAGGAAGCTGTCACACGCCTCTCCGGCACGCAACAAAACCTTCCATTATTTTATCAAACCCTTAACACCATTAATGCTCCCCCCCCCTTAACGGCATCCCCCCCGCAGTAGTTCAGCATAGTGGGGGTAGTTGTGGTGCCCCTCAGATGGGGGGGGGGGGATGGTTGTTACACCAGATTCAATTGGCGAGCAGGTAGTTTGGTGAGCGCGCGCGCACGTCGGCTGGAATTGGTGGGATCCCGTTAGTTGTGGTGGTGACGAGGGTAAGAAGGGCCTATGTGCCACACGCGGCCAACTGGTCATTTTGGTTTGGTTATTATACATGACATACATGCCATGTATACACGACACACGCCATGTATACACGACATACATGCCATGTATACAAGATATACACGCCATGTGTACATGGCATACACTGTGTATTCACAATATACACTATGTATAATATTGACTATTAACCTATACACAAATATATGTATTTGGTGAAATATGACCACATTGGTGGCATTGTTGACCTTGTTGTGTTATACACAGTGACCCACAGTGACCCTACACAACACTCACTAGGAACATGGTAGTGGGAAGTACAACACTCCTGACACCCGTCACTGACAACACTGCAAATACTGCAAGTTATACTCATAAAGGGAAAAGGTGCACCTTGCCTACACTGAGACCCAGACCTCACCATACACCACCTTGCCTACACTGAGACCCAGACCTCACCATACACCACCTGGCCTACACTCAGACCCAGACCTCACCATACACCACCTGGCCTACACTCAGACCCAGACCTCACCATACACCACCTGGCCTACACTCAGACCCAGACCTCACCATACACCACCTGGCCTACACTCAGACCCAGACCTCACCATACACCACCTGGCCTACACTCAGACCCAGACCTCACCATACCATACACCACCTGGCCTACACTCAGACCCAGACCTCACCATACACCACCTGGCCTACACTCAGACCCAGACCTCACCATACAACACCTGGCCTACACTCAGACCCAGACCTCACCATACACCACCTTGCCTACACTGAGACCCAGACCTCACCATACACCACCTGGCCTACACTCAGACCCAGACCTCACCATACACCACCTTGCCTACACTGAGACCCAGACCTCACCATACACCACCTGGCCTACACTCAGACCCAGACCTCACCATACACCACCTGGCCTACACTCAGACCCAGACCTCACCATACAACACCTTGCCTACACTGAGACCCAGACCTCACCATACACCACCTTGCCTACACTGAGACCCAGACCTCACCATACACCACCTGGCCTACACTCAGACCCAGACCTCACCATACAACACCTTGCCTACACTGAGACCCAGACCTCACCATACACCACCTTGCCTACACTGAGACCCAGACCTCACCATACAACACCTTGCCTACACTGAGACCCAGACCTCACCATACACCACCTTGCCTACACTGAGACCCAGACCTCACCATACAACACCTTGCCTACACTGAGACCCATCACCACACCACCTTGCCTACACTGAGACCCAGACCCAGACCATCAACACCTTGCCTACTCAGACCCAGACCTCACCATACACCCTGGCCTACACTCAGACCCAGACCTCACCATACACCACCTGGCCTACACTCAGACCCAGACCTCACCATACACCACCTGGCCTACACTCAGACCCAGTCCTCACCATACACCACCTGGCCTACACTCAGACCCGGACCTCACCATACACCAACTGGCCTACACTCAGACCCAGACCTCACCATACACCACCTGGCCTACACTCAAACCCAGACCTCACCATACACCACCTGGCCGACACTCAGACCCAGACCTCACCATACACCACCTGGCCTACACTCAGACCCAGACCTCACCATACAACAACTGGCCTACGCTCAGACCCAGACCTCACCATACACCACCTTACCTACACTGAGACCCAGACCTCACCATACACCACCTGGCCTACACTCAGACCCAGACCTCACCATACACCACCTGGCCTACACTCAGACCCAGTCCTCACCATACACCACCTGGCCTACACTCAGACCCAGACCTCACCATACACCACCTGGCCTACACTCAGACCCAGACCTCACCATACACCACCTGGCCTACACTCAGACCCAGACCTCACCATACAGCATCGGAAAACAACATCCATAATATGAAAGAGAAGAGAGGGTGAAAGCAAGACAGATGTGAATATTTGGGAGGAAAGAGTTCTGCAGGTGTGGCGGCTCTCACACATCTGACTCACCACTAATTACACATGAACAAGGTTTACCCCCCCCCCCGTCCTCTCTCTTGCTATGTCTTTGTCTAAGTGTATTTCTTTGTAACTGTGTCTGTATCCCTGTCTCAACGTCTGCCTTTGTATTTACTATTTGTGTCTGCACAATCCAGCTATTACCCCATGAACTCTACCTTTCTAACCCATCTAGTTTTATTCTATTATGTCTACTACACACACACACACACACATTATATTATATATACATTACATATATATAGACACATCACAAGCAATCAATATATTACCGAACATTCTGAGTGATAAACATATACATTTGTTCCTTCACACATACAGTGTGTTCAGACGTACACACAAATACTTGCATGACCAGGTACACACACAATTTGCAATAAACATTCAGACAATTCAACAAAAAGTTACAGTTGTGGTTGAAACTTCTTATATGTCTCCAGAATATCATCAACCCTTCCGTTGTGACACATCCAGGCTGTTTGTTCAGGAACAGTCCTTATCTCAGTGTTGCTATATACATTAATCAGCTGGCCATCAAGAACATAATGGGCAAGGGTGTGAGACCTTAACATACCACATACCTTACACTTGGTGTCATTACTATTTAAACGTGTCCCATATTGCCAGTAATATTTGTCCCCAAGCCTGAGCCGCATGTACATAGAGTCACTGCAAGCATGTCTCCTTATACCATAAGTGAAGTGGGTGTTTTGACTGACACACCTGAAGTGTTGCAGGGTTTGGCTTCCCTCCTACAGTATACCTCTCCTCGCCACTTGTGCCTGGGCCTCAATATTTCTTATATTGCTTCATATTTGTCTCATTGTTACAACACTCAGTGATAACTTGTGGTGTTGATGTGGCGAGTCTGGCCAGCTCCTCCGCCACCTCCTCAACCCAAACTAGCCTATCCTACCCTC